AAATACTTAGTACAATCAGTCCATGTGTATTATACAAAAGGTGTATAGTAAACTAATCCATAGAAAGGATGGATGGTTCAATGACTATGTCATTGGCATAAGTGTTGAGATCAGCACTACCACACTTCATAAGAAGTGGACGTATGGAAAGGCTAAGGAAGCCATCTGGTCCATACCAAAGTTCATACCGACCAAGGTTAGGTCCGGGTACATTCTAAGTCCAAATCATCCATGGTGTGATGACTAATATGTTGGTTCAAAACGTGCTTATGACTTAGAGGTACTAGACTATCAAGGTGCATAGTTTAAAGGTCCTAAGGAACCAATGTAGTATAAACTGTACCTATACATCACCACACACAAACCATGTTGTTATGGCAACATTGGGCACTCATTGGCGAGTTGTAAAGACATGTGTGGGTAAGGTCCATGACCATAATGTACTTTGGTACGTTGCTTATTATAAGAAGGTCATGGGACACCATCAAAGGAAGTATGGTATGTGATGTTTAAGTACAAAGATTATAGTGTGGGACTTGAATGAAGGCACGACCATTAAGCTTTGTATTAATGGATTAAAGAAAACTATAAGAGTCCAAAAGAGTGACCAAAAGTAGGCATGGTTAAGTCCTAATAGATATGGTATTGCTAAAGGCAAGGAAGGTCGATAAGTCATGTTTAAAAGGTCCATGAGCATTTGCTGCAGATCCATGGTTGGATGTGATCATAATATTCATTGCAGCAACTTGGTGAGGTAACTCATAAGGTTATGGACGTGATAGTTAAGGTCTATTACTCAACATGAACTTACCCAAAGGATGGGAAAGGATATCGACCATAATGGACAAGACCATTAGCACATACAATTGGTGTATGACCAAATGGACTAGGAGTGTCCATGAGAACCTAAGGATGGTTCATATATGTTTTGGTCTATGACTCTATATAGGATGTCCACGAAATGGCTAGGCCATATGATCAGTGGATCCGTGGGACATAAGAGGACACA